CCACCAGAGAGCCACCTCGAGGTACTTGACCTTGGACATGTCAAAGACTGCCGAGTTGTTCAGCAGCTCGTCGGTGTAGGCAACGAAGCTGTCGCTGAGCATGAGATCTGTGACGGATCTGTTGAAGGCGTTGGTGGGTTTGTCGAGAAGCCCCATGACGATGGGAAAGACCTTTGGCACCGAGTCAAAGTAGGCAGCTCCGTATCCCAGAGCTTCGGAGGTGGCCCGGCTGGTGTTGTAGAGAACCCCCAGGCGTTTCTCGGTTGCGTTGCCTAATCGCTCGAGCAGCGACTGATCTCCCATGGCGGTGAGATTTGCGACATCCCCGCAGACTGCGAGAGAGCCGTACTTTGGCCACGTGCACTGACTTGAGGAGCACGTGGGGTGTACATGGGGGATGGTTTCATTTGGCGGAGAGAATGCGCCCTGGAAAATAGCCTGTTGCTCACGGGCAGTGTCATATGGAGCTGCGGTATGTTGTCAGTTCTGGCCCCCCCTATTTTCTCGCAGTGACTTACCAATCACAAGTTGATCTCCGTCATATGCCGAAAAGGTGGTGGCCCGGTCTATCGTTGCAATGTCCTGGACATCGTGTGACTCGGCAGCAATGACCTCGTACCGGACAGCCTGCTGCATGAGGGTCGAGGTGAAGAGACCGCTCAACATGATCAAGGCTCCAAATGATGCCAAGAACCTGCGCGCAGCGATCAGCCTTTGTCCACGAGGACGACTACCTAGACGCGGACGCGGCTTACCCCTTGAAGCTGAACAGCAGCTTGATGCCCCCAAGCCCGCCCCTGGTGGCCTCATCGAAAACCTGCATGTCATGAAGGGGCTTTGGCTTCCGAGACAGAAACCACATCCACTTCAGCTGGCCCAGCCCCTCCACAATCGGCACGAGAAAGGCCACCTTGGCCAACGACGTCAAGAAAGCAAGGACGGTATTGAGCGTCAGACCCATGTGCAGGGTAGGCGGGGGCTTCCCGTCGTACCGCCATAGCAAGATGACGATGGCGAGAAGGCACAGCAACCCGCCGATCTGGGACAAGATCTCGGGCAGCCACCATGTCGGCGACATATGCGCGCGCCTGCGTTCTTCCGCCTTCTCGGGCCCCAAAAGGGCATGCTGGAAGCCCGGCAACCGAGGGCTGAGCTGCGGAGGCTGATTGTCGGACCACACATGGGACTCCGATTTGTCGATGGACGACGCCACATGGCGCAGGGAGTGCGGGTCTGAGGTGTAGATGCGGTCCAAGTCATATTGAAGCCATGGTGCTGGCCTCTTCTCGTCGTCAAGGGGTCCGCTCATGCTGTCATCGTTGAAGCATGACCCGCAGGCATGCGTCTGTTGGCGGTGATGGATTTTAGAGATGAAAAACACTCAGGCCGTTGAAGTTTGGGGCCCGGGGCCCCGAGGCCGGCGTGACACTCACCAAGTGCGGCTGAGACTGGACGGGAGAAATGGTGGTCGAGTCACATCCAATCATGGCCAGATTTCGCAATGCGCATCCCTGAGTGGACGACGGCCATCCAACCACCGTGAAGAATGGGCTGTGTAATCACTTGGCATCAGTCTGATGCAACCCACGATTCTGGGGGAATGGCTTGGGAACAACCAATTCATTTCTCAAATTTGGATATTAATGCTACCCGTGTTCCGGTGCTTTGACATTCTCCCACTGTTAAACAATGGCCCTGACCCATACGAATCTGATCCCCAAAACATGCTCGACATGTGATTCAACCCCTATCATCAGCGACCTCCTAAGTCCCAATAGTCTTACCACGCAACCCTCGCAATGGGCCCCTTTGGCCAACCCCTCACAAAATACTTCCTCGCCTCATCCAGCAGCAAGAGCCCGAGACCGAATGCCATGGGCAGGAACCAGTGCTCGACTGGCACCGGCGTGGTGCCCAAAACTGGTTGCAGCGGCGGGATGTACAGCCAGAAGAAGGCCATGAGAAGCGCAAACACCATGGCTGGGAAGAGGTAATAGTTCCGTGTTGTTTTGTTAAATAGGGGCGGATGCTGGAAGATGGAGAGGCGACGGGTGCGCACGGCGAGGAGGTTGAACCATTGCCTGGTGTTCACTGGTCAGCATCATCCACCATTGCGGGGGTAAAAGGGGGGGTAGGTCGTGGACACATACATTACAACAAGGGTGACGAAGTAGATGGAGCTCGCTTCGTTCAACTTCTGGGCGTAGTACTCCGGGTCGATGGTTTCCGTGGCGCTTCCAAACGAAAACCACAGGGCGCTGAAGGGGATGCCACTCCGTTGGAGATACCAGTAGGACATGGCAAACGATGTGGTCGTCTCGACGACACCGACAAACCCATAGCTCTGTACGATCAGCTTCCAGTCAACCAGACGATCCACTCCGATTCTACGCGGTGGACGGAGAAGGACGTCCGCCTCAGGTGTCTCGTATGCCAGCGCCGTCGCGGCAAGGCAGTCGGTGAAGCAACTGTCTTCTGTCAACCCTTGTTCCCCTCTTCACACTTCACCCCCCTTTTCGGTCAGCACATGGAACTCACCAGATAATAATCATCAAGAAACTGCTCAGCACTTGCGGCAACCCAAACATGACATTTGTCATGACTGGCCAAAACTCGCTGAAGCTACCTGCGGGCAGGAGATAGGCGATGGTATTGAGCTCACAAACGAGCAAAGATGTCACAATGAATGTTGTGTGTATTTCTGATGAAGGCCTCTGGCACTAGCGCCGAGGAAATCCATGCTATCTATTCCCAGAATCTGGTGGGCTGAACATAGGAGGGCCCCACTTCTGTGGTGGGTCCCTCCACACACCCCCTCAGACCAACACTGCCACCATCATGATGGATTCTGTGGTGTTGACTCTGTTGATTCTGTTGGCTTTGTTATTATTTCCTTCCTATTCCCTCGATTTCTTGATAATTCCTGACATGTAGTATTCTTCCTTCATTGCTTGACAGTCGGTACAAGGCCTTAGAATTCAGCCACATACCCTGTCATTACTGTTTTCTTCAATCAAGGCGTAATCGGCACCAGATTGAGCATTTTGACGAACTTTGAGTGCTTATCCAGCACCAAACCCTTGGTCAGACCGTCTGCAACCATCTTCTCGCCTGGCACGTGGAGAACCTGAATATGTCTTTTTGCGATTCTGTCGATAACCTACTTGTACCTGATGTCCAGGTTCTGAGTTCTGGCCGATTCATACGGGTTGAGCGCAGTGATTTGGGCGTTCAGACTGTCGGTATAGAGAATGGTGGGCTTTGGTTGTGGATTGCCAGATTTATCAAGGATCTTGAATATCCATATTCCAGCTTGTGCCGCCGGTAGGAGGTTCGCAAACTCGGCCTCTGTTGTTGAACTCGCAACAAAAGTCTGCTTCTTCGATTTCCAGAGGATTAGTCCTCTAGCAAGAAAGATAACGTGTCCTCCAGTACTGAATCTTGTGAGGATATCGTCTGCAAAGCTGGCATCTGTAAAGATCTTGAGTCCCAGATCCTTAGGGTTGAGTTTGCCGCCGAGGATAATTCCTAGTGAATCTGATCCCTTCAGATAGCGAAACAGGTGTTTCATAAGATCTTTATAGGCTGCAGAAGGTCCTTTATTAGCCTCACAAAGTCTTAAGATCGTGTAGGTGATGTCTGGGCAAGTGCTGTTTACCAGATAGTTAATCGAGCCCGTCTTTTTAAGATATGGAGTCTGAGCTGATAGATAAGAATCTTATGGTTATTTAGGGAGTTTAAACTTTAATAGCCATGGAGTCTTGACTGGATGAAGATCTTGGTATCCGAATTTCTCGATGATAGCCTTTATGTAGCTGGTTTGGGAGAGATAGAGTAGTTGATTAGGTGTTACGGCCTGCTTCCGACTCCACTGAGGGGGTCGGACAAAGACAGATCGTAGTAGCGGACAAAGGCCCAATTGCTACAAGGTTGATAGAGACAAGATGACTGAATGAAGGCTAGCGCAACTCTCACGGAACAATACACTGTCAAGCAGATCGTAGATCCAGAGGTCCCTGACGAATGGATCTCACTGAGGTTCGATGCTCAAGAACAATGTAATTGCTAGCGTGAGGAACCAAGAGGTCCCTCACTCCATCGTGGGCACGATGATGGTATCTATACTACTGGGTCCTGGTGGTACCTCCGTACCTCGCTCACTCTGCTCACAGTGCTCACCTGTGATCAGGGTGAGCAGAGTGAGCACGATCACGGGCTGCTCACAGTGATCACCCGCGATAAGGGTGAGCAGGGTGAGCGCTCCGTGTGCGTCGCTTACATACACTGGGCTACATACTGTGCTTCCTGCGGGGCTATGTCGGTCCGGCCCGACCCCTCCTGCGACCATGGGTCGTGACACGATTCCCCTCTTCAATCGTTCTTTTCCCACAAAGAACTCCAAAGGTAACTTCCTTCCGCGCAACCTTTCATCATGCCTGCTAACGCAATCTCGAAACAAAAGAAACCAAGATTATCATCCTCCGAACGTCGTCGCGACACCGCCCTTTTCATCTTCACATTCGGCATCGTAATGCCCGTCCGCTGCTCCCGTTGCGCGCGCCTTAACCTTGTGTGCAAGGTGGCAAGTAAGAGCGAGTCTTGTGGAAACTGCGTGGCTTCCGGTGGCCTCAGGTTTTCCTCGTGCAACGTGCACGGCAACGACCCGGCCGAGCTTCGCAAGGTTTTTGAGGAGAAGAAGCGCCTCGACGAGGAGGAACGGGCGACGCTTGCGAAGCTGCTTCAGACACAGGCGAAACTGCTGCGTCTGAAGGATCAACAGAAATCTCTGGCCGCTCGTGCAGACGAGTTGTTCGGCCACGAGATCGAGATCATGCGGGAGGAGGAGCTCCGCGCGCCCGAGGCGCCCGTCGGTCCTTCTTCTCCCGTAGTGTCGTTGGATTGGGACGCGTTCTTGAGTGGAGATCCTGCTGAGGAGTCGCCACGGCCGGCGGTGGCCACTTAAATGGGTGGATTGCAAGGTGAGTTTCAACAAATGAGATGGTCCGTTGGCGCAGTGGTCAGCGCGCCTGCTCATGGAGCGGGAGGTCGTGAGTTCGATCCTCACACGGGCTTCTAATACTTGATTTTCCAGGGGACAATCTCGCCTGGGAAGTCGGGTATTTCTTTTGCATGGCTAACAGTGCCATCATAGGGTTTTCGGTCGTTGCACCCTGGACCGCGTGGTCTTCTTTTTGGTTGCTGGTTTTGGTCGATCTGGATTTTGACGGTGGAATTCCTCAAGCTTGTCTGGGCAGTCCAAGTTTTCGATTGGTTCCCATGAGTTGTGTTCCGGTCCGTAATCGAGCCAGCTGATTAGATAATGGAGTTTTCCGTTGCGCACTTGGGAGTCCAGGACTTCTTCGACGTCGAAGTCTTCCTCGTCTGCTTCCACCTCGAGCTTTTTTTCGAGTGGGACGTTCTTTGGCGCTGGTTCGAGGAGTGAGATGTGAAAAACCTTGGTTCGGACCTTCATCGTAGCTGGTAGGTCAAGCTCGTAGTTTGAGGTGGCGACCTTCTTTGCGATTCGGAACGGTCCGAATTTTTTGAAGTCGAGTTTTCTGCTAGGTCGTTTTGAGTGCAGATTCCGCGCGAAGAGGTAGACGTGCTCTCCCTCTTGTAGATCTGGTCCCTCAGATCTCTTGTTGTCGGCGTATTTCTTCATTCTTTCGCGGGTGAATTCGAGTTCGGCTATTAGGTGCTCATGGAGCTCTTGGAGTCTGTCCGCGCGGACTGCCGCTCGTGGTGTCTTGGTCGGAGGCCCTCGCCTCAACTCCGGCTCTCGTCCGAACATCGCGAAGAATGGGGAGATGTTGGTTGATTCGACAACGGTGGTGTTGTAGGCTATTTGTGCTGTTGGGAGTAGCTCAAGCCAGTTGTCTTGTTCGAAGTTGACGTATGCTCTGAGGTAGGTTTCGAGGATTTGGTTGAGTCGTTCTGTTTGGCCGTCGGTTTGTGGGTGGTGAGCTGTCGAGAGTTTGCTGCTGACACCCATCCTCGTCATTAATCCTTGCCAGAACTTGGAGACCAAGAGTTTGTCTCTGTCGGAGATAATGCTGTCTGGCCAAAGGTGTTGTGACACGATTTCTCTTTCGAACATGTAGGCGAGTTGTTCTGCCGTTGTTGTTTTGCGGCACGGCAAGAAGTATGCCCATTTTGTCAGTCGATCGACGACTACCCAAATGGAGTCGTAGCTGACGTCTGTCGCGGGGTCCTTGGAATCTGGGATTCCGGTGATGAAGTCCATTGAGATCGAACTCCATGGTGCTGTTGGCGTTGGGAGAGGTTCGAGCAATCCGTATGGTTTGTGTCGTTTGACTTTGGTTCTGTTGCAAATGTCGCAATTGTCGACCACTTCCTTCACCAATTCCTTTATTCCTGGGAAGGCGTAGCCCTGCTGGGCTTGTGCAAGTGTTTTTGCCCTCCCCATGTGTCCACCGATTCTTGCCTCGTGGATTTGTTGGATGTACCGGTGTCGTTTTTCACGGCCGTGGATATATGGCTTGTCGTTGTACCACAAGGTGTCGTTTTGGTCGTCTCCTCCTGTGACCTTTTTGTCGACCTGCCAGACACTGTTGTGGTGCTGGCATCTTGAAGGGATGCTGTCGTGTGAGCAATCTTGGCAGGGGCGTCTTTCTTTCTTTCCACACTGGTCGCATGCCCCCTTTGTTCCTTCGTTTGGACAAGGCCCTCGAGTGAGGTCTTTTCGCCGGGCCTGGAAGTCCTCCTGTTGCCAGTTGACTTGGTACTCTTGGAGTGTTGTTTGTCGGATTCGGACGGTGTCTTCTGGCATCCAGTCTTCTGTTGTTTGTGGTGTGTGTTCGAGAGTTCCGGTGGTTGTTTCTTCGAACATTGGGAGTGGCTCGGGGTGTTCATGGGCTTGGTAGTGGTCTGCTCTTCTGCTTAAAGCGTCGGCCCTTCCGTTTTCTTTTCCTTTGACGTGGTGGATTTTGAAGTGAAACGGGGCCAAGAGTTCTGCCCATCTTGCTTGTCGGGGGGAGAGTTTTTTCGTAAGGAAGTATCTGAGGTTGTTGTGGTCGGAGAGAACTTCGACTGGTTCTTCTGTGCCCGTCAGATACGGTGCCCATTCGGCGAAGCATTGGATGATTGCCATCAGCTCTTTGTCGTGGATCGGGTATCGAAGTGCCGGTCCGCTGATTGCTTTGGACAGGAAGGCACACGGGTGATGTTTTCCGTCATCTTGTTTTTGGCTGAGGACTCCTCCTAAGGCGAATTCGGATGCGTCGGTTTCGACCCTGAAGGGTTTGGAGAAGTCTGGCATCATGAGGACTGGCGCTGTTGTGAAGGCTCGTTTTAGGTCGTCGAGTGCTTTTTGATGTCGTGTTGTCCATGTGAAGGGAACTCCCATTCCACACAGCTCGTGTAGTGGTTTGGCGATTTTTGCGAAGTTTCGTACGAAGCATCGGTAGAAGTTTGCCAGTCCAAGGAAAGACTGCACTTCTACTTGCGAGGTCGGTGTAGGCCAGTCTTCCACTGCCTTGACCTTTTCTGGTTGCATTGTGATTTCTCCGGGGGATATTCTGAATCCCAAGTAGTCAAGTTCTTGTACGTGGAACTTGCTCTTCTCCGGGTTCACCGTCAGCTTGGCTTGTTCCAAGGCTGTCAGTACTTGTCGTACATGTCGTCGATGTTCTTCGATCGTTCGAGAATAGATAAGGACGTCGTCGACGTAAACAAACACAAATTTGTCGAGGAAGGGTCTCAGTACGTGGTCGATCATGCTCTGGAACGACGCAGGAGCGTTGGTGAGTCCAAACGGCATGACTCGGTACTGATAGTGACCAAGGGGCGTACGGAACGCGGTTTTATGTTCGTCCTCCTCTTTCATGCGAATGTGGTTGAACCCCATAGGGAAGTCGAGGCTGGTGAACCAGTTGGCTCCCACTAGACGTTCCCTGATCTCGGAGATCAGTGGCAAGGGGTAACGATTCTTGATCGTATCCTCGTTGAGCGATCGGTAGTCGACGACCATGCGAAGTTTTCCGTCCTTCTTTGGGACGAACAGAACTGGGTATCCTGCTGGTGACTGGGATTCCACGATGAAGCCGTTTCGGAGGTTTTCGTTGATGTACTCTCTGAGGGCTTCTTTTTGTTTCGGGTTCATGTGGTAGGTCTTGAAGAACTTCAGCTGCGTTCCTTCTTTCAGCCTGATCTCGTGGTCCCAAGGTCCGTGTTCAGGTAGATCCTCGATCTTCTTTTTGAACAACTGGAAATGTCGATATTCCTCTGGCACGTTATTCAAGTCGGTGCCTGGTCTCGGAGAAGATTCTTCCTTCTCTCGACCGTCGTAGTCGTTGGTGAATCTGATCCATAGCATCGTCGGCTCTCGGGACTCAGTTCCTTCAGGGGGTACCCCGTGGGCAGCGTGCTCCACACCGGTCCGTTCTTCCCTGGTTTGTCGTAGTGCGCATTCTGGGCATGGGCTTGAGGCCTCGTCGTCGCGGTTCCGAATCGAGAGGTGGCCACCCTCAAAGTCCATCCATGGATTGTATTTCTTCAGCCAGGTTTCTCCGAGGATTATGTCGAATCCTTCTACCGGCGCAATCCTAAATTCGATCTCTTGCTCGTCTCCGTCCACCTTGATCAGAAGTGTCGAGACGTGCGTGATCTTGCCGTCGTTGTATAGGTATGGTGTTCCTTCTCCTGAGGAGACGGGGATTGGTTCTGGCAATTCTTCGTTGGGAAGTCTCTTTTTGTTGATGAAACGGGGATTGATGAGGTTTCCTGTGCTTCCCGTATCAATCACTGCTCGGGCTCGGAATGGTTTTCCGTAGCCGTCGGTTCCGTCGACGTTGATGACGAAATGTCGGCGGTTATTTTCCATTGTGGTCATCGCTATGACTTCTTCTTGAGGTCTTTTTGTGCGCATCCTCTGAGTGCCTCTTCTTCTTCTCAGTGCTCGCGCGAATCGTCGGTTCAAAGGTCTGCGGGCCCTCCGAAGGGCCTTGAGCCGTTTCCCAAGTCTCTTCTAGGTCGCCGCAAGTTTCGCCCGCAGAGCTCCCTCCACCAGGGTTGGCTGAGGTTGTATTGCCAGTGGCGGTGCCTGCGGTCTCGGAAATCTCGCCTTGAGTTCCAGCGGACCTCGAATGGTTCGAAATCTTGGAACTCCTTGAGGTGGCTCAGCATGACTTCTTCTTCGTGGTTGAGCGGGGTCTTTTTTGCCCTTCTCCTGCGTGCTCGGTTGCGGCTTCTTTCTTCGTGGTTTCGCCACAACTCTTCCTGGCGATGCCATCTTTCTTGCCACTGGTGTGCCTTCTCGGTTTGGTGTAAGAGACAGTGTTTCTCTGGGCAGTGGGCGATGTATCGGCCATTCCAACATTCTGGTGGCGTGGGGTTTTGAAGGGTGATCATTCCGTCGTCAGGCAGCGAGTCGACTTCGTAGAACTCTGGCTCCACGTGGTCGTAGACCGTCAGGACTTCTCTTGGTCCTTGGACTGCTGGGTATTGGACCGTTGGGAAGTGGTTGTACAGGATTTTCATTCCCCAATGTGACGGTTTTCGACAACAGTCGTGGACGCAACTAATCCACAGGATGTGTTCGTGTTCTTCGTCATGGAGAAACGCCGGCGGAGTAGTGTCTGGTAGGTGGAGGGGCAGCGGTTCTGTGGCTCGACCGATTTCTGGAGTCCACACCCGCCGAGTTTCTTCAATCATCGTCCAGTCTTCGGGGTTGATCCAGGAGGCGGTTACGACTCTGTCCCCTTTCTGTCGTAGGATATGCTCCGAATGGTTGACTTGTCGGTTGAGGAGTCTTAACAGCATGCCGTTTTCTTGCGGTTCTTGTTGGACTTGCTGAATCCTCTGTACGAGCAGGTGGTGGATTTCCTTCAGTGGTCTGGTCATCAAGGAGCGTTTGTCTTGTTCGTGTTCTTCCGCTCCCATTGTTGAGACGATGCTGTTCCTCAGCTCGTATTCTTCAGCTTCTTGTTGTTCGACCAGTTGTGATCTCATCTGGGCGTTGTCCTCCTGCTCAATCCTTGAAGGCGTTGTGATCGCAAGCCTCTGCCTGAGTCGGTCAAGGTCGACCTGCACCTCAGGGGGGGCATCACGCGTGG